CAAGGATATTATGCTTTGATCCCTGCCATATAATGATTAAACAATTCAATACAGGAGTTAAAGGATATGTCAACATATAAAGGAAACTCTTTGAAGAATTATGAGCAGGAAGGAAACTGGTGAACTTATGCAAGATTTGTAGGAAATCAGAGATAAAAGATCAGGGCTTAATAGCACATATGAATGGGAAAACCATCTCTGCTTCTCAACACACAGGTGGGAAATTAGAACATTCCTCAAACAGAAGCGATCATCCACTGCTGAAGCTGGCTTCAACTTCTAATCTTCACAGCATGAACACTTGAGGCCTCCACTTGTGTATCCTGCTTTCCTGGGAATTATATGGGGTGGGGTGGTCTTCCCCAGAGTTTTGCACGAGAGCTCCAGTGATCAGTTCACTTGAAGGGTGGTTGTGTTGTGTTGTTCCTGAGTTGGTGCTCAATGGACCATTGACAGGGGCATTTCATGTCCTCCATCACATGTAATTCAAAGCCACTGCATTTACAGTTGCTCACCTGATGTGTGTGTTCATTCGCAGTGACCAAAAGCTTGTTGCGAGATTCATCCCTGTATTGTCTGGGGAGTCTCTTCCACATGGATTGCAGAAAAGGCGATGTTTTTGATGGAAAAGAATTATCTACCTTGACTATATATGGGGAAATGGTGTTTTTGATTGTCTATATAAGGAAAAGGGTCCTGTCACACAGGCTTCAGGGCCATATTAGGAATATGCAGTCCTTACTTGGTTTATGGATGGGACTTGGACTGGAACTTTTGCACAAACAGGGCCCTGGCGAGCTTAGAATGTTTGAGGCAACAGGCAGAATGCTCTGACTGAAAAGAGGTCAATCATGAGACAGGTACATATCCATGATAACGATAATTATGGAAAAGAAGAAGCCACCAAAGATAAAGGAAGACAATCTTGCCAAATAGCATAGATAAAAGAGTTTTCGGTGGTCGTAGAACCTTGTGATTTGGTAATTTTACATACGTTTTGATCTTCTCTTTAAACACTTGTCAGGTATTTATCTGTGAAGATTCTCAGTCATCCAGGTGGAAGTTGAGTCATCATGGCAACTGGGCTTTTTTCTTATCCGAGGTGAGGTTATCTGGAAGTTGAGTCATCATGGCAGCTGGGCTTTTTTCTTATCCAGTTGAAAGGTTTCATTCCTCCTTCCAAGTAGCTTCTACAGTCTTAGGATAGCCGGGAGGAGATCCCTGATAGATCCTCCAAGTTGGTTTCGCTTCCCCCTGGTCTGAATAGGCTCATTGTGAGCCACTGTATTATTCAGTCCCAGCAAAGTGAGATTTTAGTGCTTATCTGAGATACACAACTAAGGCTTATATTCTAGCTATATTTTGGTTCATGGGTCATTTCAAAGACACGGAAGAGGGACAGGAATGCCCTTGGGGGGGGAAGGTACATCCTTTTAGAATGCCCCCCTGGCATAAGGGATGATCAAACACAGGGTGGGAGATCCTCCTTTGAAAAAAATGTGGCCCCCTGGGGATGACAGTACTCACTGGGTGGGGTTTGTTGCCATGTGTGTGTCTGTGTGTGTGATTGTTTCTAGAGGAATGTCAGCCCTTTAATAATTTTCTCAGGTCATAACGGAGAATCATAAGATTTTATTCTTTAAACATTGAGGGGTGGGGGAGGGACTCATTAAGAGACGGATTTTAGATAAGATAAAGCAAGGTAGTCTAAATTGAGGCCAGTATTGCACTTTATACGATGCAGGCTGTAACACTCCACTGCTTCCTGTAGTCTCCAAGTTGATATTATGTAAACCAGAAATGAATGAAGCCTTTTACTTGCCTTAAGTCGGAGATGAGGTTCATGGAAAGTCTGACTGTTTATGGGATGGATAGAGCGGATCCTGGCCTCGATCTTGTTGCAGAAGAAACATCATAATAATAAAAAATCAGGCTGGAAAAGCTCTTAAGACATTTCTTGTTTGGAGAGCAGAATATATGGTAGGAAGACTGTAACCAGCGAAGACAGGAAGGATGCTAAGTGTGTTTTGAAAGATATTTTGCAAGATCAAGAAGGAAGGCTGGATTTAATTAAAGGCGACCAAGGAAAGCACATAATCATGGCATCATTATGATCAGACTCCCTGTTTGGAGAGATTACAGACAGATTTTGAAAACTCCCAGAATCTCTCAGCCAGTGCTCTTACTTGCTCTGCAAGACAGGTGATTCTGGGAGACCTGTGCAAACTCTTATTTTCCAAACTCTGCCCTGAATTGATGGTCCTGCCCCAGTTTTCGAGTTCTGTCAGCATAATTCCTACCCCACTGCTCTTCTGGCTTAAGTGCTGTTTAAGTCTCTGTGGCATACTGTGCTCCCCAGGGGTGAGTCTTTATCTTCTCAATAAACGAGACTATTTTGGAATTGTTAGCATGTATACATAACTGAAACAGCGACATCTATATTGGCTCAGACTTGTTGAAAAATATATTAAAGGAGGTTGCCGAGACACCGAGATAAGTTGTTCAAAATACAGTGGTGCCTCGCTTAACGAGCGCACCATACAACGACGAAATCGCATAGCGATCCCTTTTTTGGGATCGCTAATGCGATCGCTCAACGATAGGGCGAAACTCGCTTTGCGAAGATTGGTAAGCATTTCGCTTACCGATCTTCGCAAAACGAAGCCCCGACGATCAGCTGTTTGGCAGACAAAATGGCCGCCAGAAGCCCCAAAATGGCCACGCGCAGTGTTTTCGCGCCCTCCCCTCGCTTACTGAGGGCGCGAAAATGGCTGCCGGCGATAGGAAACTTCGCTGAACGGTGAGTAAAGGAGCCTATTGGAACGCATGAACCAAAATATAGCTAGAATATAAGCCTTATTTGTGTATCTCAGAGGCGGTGGTGAAGGCTTCTGGGAATTGTAGTCCAAGAACATCTGGAGGCCCAAGGTTGGGGACCACTGCTCTAGAGCACGTTACCATAGTTTCTCGAGACTGAAGGATGCCTACTACTTTGGAACTCTCTCAGAACCATACAGAAATTTTTATCCATACATCTTCACCACATTCTGACCCAGAAATGGGAAATACTGCTTACTCGGACCACAACTCTCAGAATAATTTAGGAGCTGTAATTCAGAAATACTGTAAGTGAAATTTCCCATCTTGAATGTTTTTTTAATGTGATAAAATCAACAAGAATAATATCGTATCATAG